CGTTGTATCAACTTATATTTATTTATATCATTAATTAAGTAATGAATTACAAATTAAATAGAATTAATGTGTCTTGACAAAAGTTTTGTTAATTATATTGCCCCCTTGAGATTATTAGGGAGCAGCAAGGTGTTTTTTAATGTTAAGTCTTAATATTAAGAGACATGATTAAGCATTTTTGGCATTTTCTACTTAAAAATTTGCTCTTTTGTTATTCTTTTATTATTTTAATTTAACAAAAGCTGCTCCTTTATTATTTAATCCAACAACTTAATGATGACTGATTTCATTGTATCAAGATTATATTTGTTAAGATTGTTAACAAATGAATATAATATCGGTGGGCGATTATAAATATTGCGAATGAATTTAATATTATGACACAAGTAAATAACACATTCAAAATCGTAACTAGATGGAAGTTGATGTACTGACTTTATAAAAACATTTTTATTATAATGTTATCGTATTTTCTTCTTGTGTTCTAATTTGTATTGTTTTTTTTTTTTTATAGTTTTAGTTTTGGTTTTACTTTAATCATTTACAAATTTTGTAGGAGGTTTTCTGTTTGAACTACGGTCTTGTTACGTAGGTTCTAATTAATTTTATCTAATATTTGCTTTTTTGTAATGCAGAGCCCTGATGAATGTTTTATTATTTGAATAAAATAACACGAAACACGTCGGCGAAATTAAACTCTGCATTTCTTTTTATTATTTTGAAAAAGCACAAATTTTTATTTTTTGAAAATAATTACGACTTCATTGGTTGCTGAAAAGTAAGAGTTGAGACTAGCAGATTGATTTGTATCAGAGAGATATAGATTGGTCTGTTTTCAATTTGATTCCCCACACCCCTACATCCCATGATCAGAAAAAAATTAATAAAAGAAAAGAAAAATATTCTTCATTCTAAACTGATTTTCTCAACAGAGGGTGATTGTGGATTTAGACGAGGACAAGATCGTCACCCCACACCCATATCCTTTGAATGAAAAAGTTATTTGCTGATTTGTCAGCTTTCTAGTCGATTGGAAGCTCGAATGTTAAGTTTGACCTCAGATTTGGATTCCGTGACCCGATTGCTTTTGATCAAACTTTAGAAAACGTTCCTATTGCTTTAAAATAAATGCACACACGTGATTAAACACGTGCATGCAAAAATGCCAGCAAGTAGATTTATTTTATTTCATACGATCCTTCCTTCAATCGAAGGAACAAAGAATAAACCTTCAAGAAACAGGTGTTGTTTTTCGAATGAAAACAAAATCCTCTCAAAAAAAAAAACTAATATATCAATTAATGAATGGTAATTCCAGAATATCTGCATCTGAACCAATATGCCTGTACTATATATTCTTCTCATTTTTTCATTTTTTCACTTGGTATCATTGGTAAGCATTCCTTCGTACACTCAAACAAAGTATTCTGTATTTTATTCGACAATACAGAGTTGCTATGTCTCATATTTGGCTTCTTGTTTTTCTTTCTTTTCTGTCGATGGCTCATTCCATCGATAATTTTAATGATTATAGTCAAGAATGGACAGATTTTGTTCGTCAATATGATAAGGCCTATGCCACCGAAGAAGAAGCTCAACTTCGTCAGTCGATCTTTATTAAGAACCTCCGCGAAATTGAACGACACAATAGTCAAGCTAATCAGACTTACACAAAAGCCGTCAATCAATTTTCTGATTTGACCCAAGAAGAATTTCAAATACGTGTTCTTACGCCTCAGTTGGCCTTTGCTCCTATTCCAAAAGCGCAACCGGTACCGATCATGACTCGATCGTCAACAACTGCTGCGTCAATACCTACTGGATGCACACGTGGTTCAAGCAACTGTTGTATTTCGTCAGCTAATCCAAACGCATGCTGTGCGGCTCTTGGTATGGGATCATGGAATCGACGTCAATGCAATGCAGGTAGTGGTAATGGTGTTGTTCCCAACAATTGCATGTCGCGTGATTCACGATGTTGTCAATCATCACAGAATCCAGGTGAATGTTGTGCTGCTCTAGGATTTGCATTTTGGGATGGTGGTTGGTGTCGAGGTGTACATGCATCCAATGTTCCAAATGAATGTGTCGCTTGGAATAGTCACTGCTGTTCAGAAAGTACTGTACCTCAAAGATGCTGTCGCGCACTTGGTTATGAATATTATGATGGAGCTTTCTGTCGTAATTCAGCAGACTGGTTTCCAGCCCCTGAATTCTTAGAAAATGTTTATCCAAAG